GTACATCTTTTCCTTTTTGTCTTTTTTTTTTTTTTTTTTTTTTTTTTTGACACCAGGAAAGGCATCTCAAGTCCGAGGCCTGCGTGGGGTGGGTTTTGCCTGGGAGATGGGGAGAAATGGGTGAAAATCGGTGGTGGGAGCTGGTGGCACCGGTGGTGGCCTTGGCGGTGTCCTGGGCTAATGAGCAACGGGACTAAGGCGCTTTTCCTACTTAAGCAAATAAATACATAAATAAACCGTGTGCCTGTCTCCGGTGCGAATCTTCAGTGCTTGCCCTCTCCGTGGAGGCTGGGGTCCAGGTGGGTCAAGGGGTCCCCCCAGACTCCCCCCTCACTGCCCTGAAGGAGCCGCTGTGATCCTGGAGCCCCCCGGTAGCGTTGACCCTCACCCCATGGGAACCTTTGGGTGGCACTGGTGGCACTGGGGGCCCTGGGGTCAGGCTGGTGGGTGGGAGGGCTGGCTAGCGGGGTCTGTCCCTCCAAGGCAGCAGGGTCCCTGCGGGGTCCCTCGGGGGTCCCTGGGTGTGGGTGGGCAGGTGGGGGGCCCGCCCCTTTGGCAGGGTCCAGGAGTGGGGTTGGGTGCCTCGGGGCGGGGGGGGACTGGGAAGAGGGGAGGGACCCCCGACCCCACCGCTGGTCTCTCGTCCCCAACAGCTCCAGAGCCCTCCAGATCCCCTCCAGGGAGTCGCCAGCTCAGGGAGGGGTCCCTCGGGGAGACCCAGCTGCTGTCCCCACCTTGGCCTTCACGTTTCCAAAAAAAAACCCCAAAATTGCACATGCCAGGCAGCGGGATGCCCAGCCACCTGCCTGGCCCACCCCGGGCTGCCCGGTCCTGGCGCTGCAGCGTTTTTTTTCCTTTGCCACTTTTTTCAGGGGCAGTTGAACAATTAAGAAAAAAAACCAATCACCATTATTTGACAGGGAGCACCCAGGGCTCCAGAGACTATGGCCCCTGCAGCCACGAAGCGCTGAAGAGGCTTTCTGCTGAAGTATTTTGGCCACGTGCAGCGAACCGTGCCCTGACGCGGCCCCCCAGCTTAGGGCTTCAGTGAGAGGCAGAAACTGAGTGTGGTTGGGTAGAGTATAGATTAGTTGCATCTATACCAATATATATGTAAATAATTCAGTTTATTTTCCCAGACTGTGAGCTGATGGTCTCTCCCAGGATGGGGATAAGGTGTAACATTTTTTCCCCTGTGTATTCTGGATGGGAAGAAACTGATGCTTGAGCCTTCTTGTACAGTATTGAATACCATACCAACTTGAATCTTCTGCTCATCTTCTCTAGGTAAGTAAAAACAGGGTGAGGGGAGGACACAGCACCGTACCGGGAGGTGGGGATTGGCTTTCATGACTGCAGCTCTCTCTAGCTCTGCGCTCACACAGGCTGCTGGTACCCCAAACCCGCTGCACGCTCACAGCTTCTCCCGGCTCACTGTGGCAGGACCCTGCACTCTGCCCTGGCTGCACCTGCAGCGGCTTCCAGGCAAGAGCGGGGAGCCAGGCGTGGGTGAGCGCCCAAGAAACGGGGACTTTTACCCCTTTTGCTGAAGGATGGAAGGTGATAAACAGTACCAGGGTGCCGATACAGCAGGGAGCGCTCACCTTCGTTAAGGCAAACTGGTTCAGCGTTTTCACCTTGAAAATCCTTCTGACTCAATATGCAAAAACTGGACATATTTTCCAATCTTTCTATTTTTGAGTGCTTTATTCCTTACCTTCCCTGACATTACTATTTTGGCAGCAAAGATCTCTCACCGCAGTTACCTGCTTAAAATAATATGCTGATCCATGTTTCATTTTAAATAGACACAGTGGCAATATTACCCAAAGATGAAGCTCACGGTAAGGCTCTCCTCCTGCATACCGATCTCTGCATTTCACCTCCCTGCTTTCTCAGACCTCCAGTAACACATACAGGAGCCTGGGGAGCTGTGAGGGAAAAGGCACAGGGAAAACTTAACAAGCAAGGCTGCACCACGCTTAAAATTTGCAAGCCAGCTCTGCCACACTAACGATGGAGACAATGTTGGTTTCCTTCAGCGTCTGCAGAGGAAAGAACGAGGCATAATCATTCGGGGGACAAAAAAACCCCACAGTCAACACCCAAACGTCACACGCACACTTGCTCCGTATGAAACCACACGAACATTTATTTCTATGGTTTATCTATTTATAAAAGCTTGAATCGGTTCCATTGCACCTCCTCTGCGTGATCCCACGAGCGAAATGCGGTTCGGTCTCTGAGGCTACGCCAATGCCCCCCGGCTCGGCCGCCCCGGGCACCGCCTGGGTCGGCGGGCGAGCAGTGGGGAGCTCTGGCACACGACAGGCAGCAGACTTCTCACAGCATTTACCCTGAAGCACATGCTGCTCTCTTCAGAAGGATCCCTGCTTGCACATACTATGTGTTTGATACACAGCTGCTTACAGAAAAGGCAATTATAGCATCATATCCTTTTAAATCGCCAAAAAAGCCAGGAGCGCACAAGTGTTTAAAAGAGGGTGCAGTGCGTTATTATTCTGAGCTGCATTATTAGTCATTCACTTTCAGTGCAGAAGTTTGAAGAACACAATTAGGTGTCCTCCAAGTAACGGTGCTTGAGTTTACTTTCATCAGATCGAACGGCGTCCGATGCTCCCTCACCACATCCAGATCGGAAAGCCAAAGGCAGATTTCTTAAAAAAAAAAATCTCCCTTTCATTAAATTTTCACAGAAATATATAATATATATATATAATTTTACTAATACTACACATTTACTTAAGTTATGGATTAGCCTATATTTCTTTTTAACTACTTCACACAATGAATAGAAACAAAAAAAATACTGTAGCCCAAACAGGAGCTGAAAATAACAATGTAAAAATTCCAAACATGTGACAAAAATGTACTTACATTAAATATCATCAAGAATTTCAATATCAGAAGTAGAATTTCATTTAGCACTTGCATTCTGGCAAGCTCTAAGCCTTAGTTGAATGACTCTTGGAAAAAGCTTGTATTGTTTCTGCTCATCAAAGGCAACAGTATTGTGATTTGGTTCACAGGAGACCATTTTATTGCCAACTTGAAGTGTTCCAAAAACACGCCACCTTTACGGTTTGGTTTTTTTTTTTTCCTTCCCCCCTCCAAACTAGGCAAGTGTTAAAAAAAAGTGTAATTACAATTTCAATAGTGATTTCTTTTAACTTCTCAAGCATATCTCATCAACAGGATATACAGTACAGTTCAGAAGAGTAAACATTTTTAAAAGTAAGCAAACAACTTTTTCAATCAACATACACAATTTCTTGCTGTATTTATGCTGAACTCGCCTTTTAACATGGACAAGTTATGAAGTTAGTTTTCTTCTTCAGTACAACATGGACACAGGACTAGTACAATCCGGGCTGGTTTTGTTGTTGTTGTTGTTAAAGTTAAGGACAACTCTAGTGTGGAAGCCATGGTCCTGCCATCCATCTCCCTTCATCATCTCGCATAGCGCTTAATGTAATCTTCAACTTTATTCCGAAAGTCCTCCTAGAGGAAAGCACAGTCAGAATTACCCCACGCACATCAGAGAGGGACTCACGTAGGACTACAGCGGTGGTGGACTCCCACGTTAGCACCAGTAGGGTCAAATCTCCATCACGCCAAAGGCCCGCCGCTCTCCCCAGTACATGTTTCCGACATGGTGTACGAGAACTGAGGCGAGTCCTTGCAAGCAGACGTCCGTGCTCCGCCGGGGATCTCCTCTGGGGACTGAACTGAGCAGAGTTTGCCATCGCCAGCTATCAACACAGCTACAAACAGACTGCGTGTGACAGGTCACCAGTGCTGGGAGGCCAGGTCCCAGCTAGCGGCACAGCGAAGAGCTGGCCATGGTTTTAGGGAAGGAAGCGACGCTGTCCTTACTGGATAAGAGAGGCAAGGCTACAGCAGGAACTGTTACAAAGGCCGCAGCTCTGCCCCAAATACTCATTCTGGCCTCCCCCTGGTAACTGCACAGTACCACAGCTAGCACAAAATTAAGCACGTGATCAATCACTGCTTTTTTTTTTTGTCATATGTTATAGCCTAGAGAATTAAAAATTCATCATCCAAGTCACTCATTTGTTAAAGTGGTTCGGAGGGAACACGTTTTACACCTGTAGCCCTCCACAGAAAACCTACAGAATTATTATATAGCCTCTGCATCGATGGAAAAGCACACATTTCTGGTAGTTTATCTTTATAAAGCATGGAGATGCCGAGCGGGAGAAATTCTGACATACTTTCCTCATTTGATACTTATCCAAGCCGGGATGTCAGACAGATGCTACATTCCTGTAATGTTATTCGGAGTCTGAACCTTGCCTCGCACGCTTACAGCCTGTTATTAAATATGTTCAACACAAACACACCGAGTGGCCCGTGCTCCAGATTCAAGTGGGGGCTTCACAGCAAAGTGCTGCTTTTTTGATTTCCAGCCCCAGTTTTGCGTGCTGGCCAGAATATAAAACACCAACAGAGACAACAGATGAGGAGGCTTTGAAGGCAGCGGCCTGGAGAGCAGGGGCCACAGAAGCACTGAAATCCTCTGCCCGCCAAATCAAGGCTCTGCTTTTACTAGAAAGGGGGCAAAGTCTTGCTGCCGTGACCTGAGGTATCGCAGCAAGGCACGCTCCTGCTTTAAACAACGTACCTCGTCAAAGAGAGCGGCTCCAGGTTTGCCAATACATAAAGCGATGCCCTTCAAACACACATTGAGTGTTCTGGTACAGTCCACTCAGCAAAGTGCTGAATAAAATGAAGTTTACAGACAGAGCAGCAGTTCATGAATTTAATGCGCACGTAAATAATGGCCGTTCATTGTTTGAGGACTTCAGTATCGGGTCTTTTTTACTTTTTTGTTAACAGCAGATAAAAGCTGAGCACCGCAATATGCACCATTACTCATAGTAATACTGCTAAGAAGGTCTGAAAAGTAGGGAGCAGGTGCTTTTAACTGTGAAGCTTGTTTTAAAAATGGGGAGAGCGCTGTTTTCCCTTGCAGGGGCACACAGTAACCCATTCTGAAATCTGAAAGATATCATAAGATACTTAAAATAGAAACAGAAATTATCAAAGCTAAAATGTCCCCTCCCCAAGCTAACTTTGCCTGCTTCTAGCTTAACTACATCAGCTGTGTCTCCCCCTTTTTTTAAAAAAATTGGATTTTCCTCCATGTCTTGATCAGCATTTAGCTATACACTGCCACTAAAATTTTTGCTAGACATCACATCACCCCAGAATAAAGCAGTGATATAGCCTTTTTGCTACAGCTAGCCTTGCAATGCATTGGTATTTCCTTGGCCTCAACACCACGCTTCAAACACTTCCTGATCAGCTCCCTTTACGATGGCTTGGTTTTCTGCTGGGGAGTTTTTCTATCAGCAAAAGGAGAAAGGTAATCTCATGGTTAAAGTCCCAAATCAAAGTATCAAAGAAGAACTACAATCCATCAGCAACCTTGTCCATGATTTCGTTTTCCAACTGATAAAGTGCATGACAGAGATGTCCATGAACTATATGCAAAGTGCTCTGAATCTCAAAGAAGTCTGAAACACGGTTTAAGGCCAAAAATATCATAGGTGTGGAAATAAAAAGTATAAATGCACTTCAGGAAAAAAACACCCACCACTAATGGGTCTTCTCAAGAGAGGTACAGGTTTGTGCTTTGGAAGAAATAAAAGGAGAGAGCATAAATTACAAGCATCCATTACATGAAATCACTGTAAGATGCTTGACACCTTGGTATCAGGCAGTACGAGCCCAGGTGCGGAGAGGAACCCTGCAAGGACTGACTACTAAAAGAAACCAGTTCTTTAGGGCTGCAGAAATTCCCTTCCTCCTTAGAGACAGGCTGCCTGCACTTCTTGGGAGAAAGGAGCAGCTATTTTGGTACGATACGGCACCTGCTAAAGGCAACATTCTGCGTAGCGACTTTTAACTCTGCTGCAAGCACACCTCTTTCCACGTTCATACAATCATACATTAAGCATGCTAAGAAACTAATGCTACAGAGCTAATGCTGTTTTCATTTTAAATAAGATTTCAGATACCAGGCAACTTCAATCCTGTGATGACAGTTATGATAGCCAAGTATCACGTGAAAGCATTTTTAAAGTAACTACTTGTAAACAACACATCTATTACGAGTGTTCCCCAGATCTCAGGCTGCCGCAAGCAAGAACAATCTCTAGGTACCTTGAGTCTGTTAAAATATCACACAAACAAAAGAAAAGTGACCTTTTGAATTTGTTTTCAGCTCTGACACATTGATGCAAACTAGAACAATTACTCATAATGGCAAACGATGCTGGAAACCTCTCATTTACTGGTTATGATGGCTGTTCTCAGTATTATGGACTGATCGCTCGCAGCAGCAACACTTGCTGTCCGCCTGTTCTTGGGCACTCACAACATTAGAGCACGTTGGTCACAACGCTGCACCTGATACGTGAAGCCTCCTGGACTCTCCTCCTCTTGCGATTCTCCAAGAGACAGGTCACTAAAAGAAACTGGGCAAAGACATACCACTGGACGTGCAATAGGGCCAACTGCATCTTCACCGTATCTACAATATCTAAGAGCAGTGCGGTACAGGCAGCTCAGAGCATCCTCTGCTTTTTCACCCATACCTTTACGAAGTTTTTACATGGGAAGACAAGCTCTCGGCACTGACTTAACAGAAGCAGGACCTCAGCAGAGAAGGAACGCTCCAGAAATCCACGCCGTCACTTAGGCTGACTTGCCAGATGATGGAACTGACAGCGTTAACAAGAATACATTAACATGGTACTCGCTGCATGTGAACCTGGTTGCTGAACAGGAGGTTCTCATCCCATAGCTGTAATATTCTATCCTCACATGCCATATGGCTTAACAGTTCCTGATTAACAGGGGGCACTTTTCTATGTGCACATCTGTTTATGTGCAGTACTGAATAATCAGAAGTAAAAAAAATTGATCAGAGCAGCACATATTCTGCATTATAAGGAGGAGCGTACAAAATCCTGCTAGGAATGCTCAGGGAAAGA